GCTCCCCAAGAATGGATTACCCATGAGTCTCCCACTCCCCTCCTCCCCAACACACACACCAGAATCATTTCTGCTTCTTCCGCTTCACTGTTTTTAGGATTGTTCCCTGAACGCTGAATGTCAGAAGAGGAAGCTCTTCAATGGAAGGGCCTCCAGGCTCTAAGCCTTCGAGTCTAATCCATAAATGTCTTGATTCTCTCTTCGATTCACCAGACCTTTACCCCAAAGCTGATCCTATTGGACCTCTCGGATATCAGCTGTGTGCAGGATGTGGCCAAAGACGTCCTGGACTGCTATGGCTGTGTGGACATCCTCATCAACAATGCCAGTGTGAAGCTGAAGGCGCCTGCCCATAAGATTTCTCTGGAGCTCGACACAAAGATCATGGATGCCAATTACTTTGGGCCCATCACACTGACCAAAGGTCCTGGGGTTCTGGACAGATTGGGGTGGGTGGGGCTGGGTCTTTTACATAGACAGATGGTCATCTCCTCCCAATGGACCCTCTAGCTCCCCATTCTCCCTGGGGGGAAATAGCAACCCTATTAGTCCTAAACCATCCTCACAATTGTTGTTATGTGGAGCCCGTTGTTGTGACTGCTGTGGCCCTCCATCTCCTTGAGGGTCTGTCTCTTTTTTCACTGCCCCTCTACCGTACCAAGCATGAAGTCTTGCTCCAGGGACTGAGCTCTCCTGACTACATGTCCAAAGTACTTGAGATCAAGTCTCACCATCCTTGCCTCTACCAGAACCCCCAAATAACCAAACTCACTGCCACTGATGCCATTCCAACTCATAGGGACCCTGCAAGGCAGGGTAGAACTGTCCCCGTGGCTTTGTGAGACTACAATATTTTACAGGAGTCAAAAGCCTCATCTTTCTCCTGCGGAGTGGCTGGTGGTTTCAAACTGCTGACCTTGTGGCTCACAGCCCAACATCTAACCACTCCCCTAAGTCAGCCTGAGAATGCTCAACTCTACAGTCTCTTGTCTCTTTAAGGGAGCACATCTCAGAGAAGTGTAAAAGATATAATAATAATCTAAAAATGAGACTTCCCTCTTGCCACAATAAGAAAGCACAAAAAGGAAATCATTTCTCACTAATCAGTGTTCATTAGTGGTTCATTTAAAGTCACCCAGCGATTCATCAGTTGAGCCTGGTGTACTCTTGGAAACACTAAATGATACCAGGGCCCATCCCATCACGGGTCCTGCTGTGATCTGAGTGCCGGGGGGTGGGAGAGGAAATCATTGGGATGTTGGGAGTGGGGTGGGGAATGGGAGGAAGCATACTGCCTACTATTGCCCGAGACAGTCATTGATTTTTAACAGAGGCTCATCGTTCTGTGTTTCCAGCTCTGCTCCCCAACATGATCTCCCGAAGAACTGGCCAAATCGTGTTGGTGAATAACATCCAAGGGAAATTTGGAATCCCATTCCGTACAGCTTGTAAGTTCCTAAGACAGACGCAGTATCTTTATGACGCGATGCCCAGGACTGGGCGTCTGTTTACAAGGAAGGGAGAGGGCTCCAGAGCGGGAGGGTCCTCTGGGTCTCCTCTCCTTCTTCTGTACCTCAGCTGGGAGCACCTATGGAAGGAGGGTTCCCTGGGAGACACTGACCCACAGAAGATAAGGTCCCTCTAGAAGCTGACAGTCAGTCTCACGTGAGCCTGCTCAGCCCAGACGAAGGTCCCTCTCCTGAAGCAGGTGCAGGGGCCCCAGGTCCAATGCCCCTTCCTCTACAAAGAGGACAGGAGATGCTAAAATTGAGCAAGAAAAGATGGCGTGCATTACCAAAGAGAGTGATGGAGAGGTTTAGAGGAAGGAAGAAGGGAATAAAGAACTCTGAAATTCCTAGCATTCTGGAATTCTAGGAAAGGGCCATCCCAAGGGTGGGAGGCCTTTAAAAGGAACTTTAGCAACAAGAAGAGAACTTTTATGTATCCGTTCATGAGATCCATTTGGGAAAATCTTAGAGACAGTCTCATCTCCCATGAGCAATGTCCTGGGAGAGTGGAGAAGACAGATCACATTTTTCTTTATTACTTGTCATGTCATCTATCAGTTTGCCACATCACAGTGGCCTGCGTGTTGCTGTAATGCTGGAAGCTATGCCCACAATATTTCAAATGCCAGCAGGGCCACTCCTGGTGAGCAGGTATCAGTAGAACTTCCAGACTAAGACAGACTAGGGAGCAAGACCTCAAACTCTACTGCCGAAAAGCAGTCAGTGAAAAGCCTGTTGGTCATAAATATTGGAAGAGGCTCCCCTAGGTGGAAGGCCCTCACGATATACAATAGACTAGAGCATGCCAAGCATCATGAGGATGGTGCAGGGCTGGGCAACTTGTTGTTCTGTTCTAAGTGCGTATGAGGTTGCTATGAGCTAGAGCCAAGCTGTGGCAACTCATAACGCCGCATGCAAAATAGAAGCTCAGTAAGTGTTAGCTAGGTTAGAAGTAGGAGGAAACGAGGAAGGGAAGAAAGATGGGCAGGTCCCCTGAGAGTGTTGGATGTTTCTTTTCGCTCGGTATTCGTTAGGCTAAGCCTAAGTCATGGTGCTACAAGGCTGTGATATTAAGAATATACAAGGGTGTTTCACTTGCATGTAAGAGTGTCAATGCAGGTGTGACGGTCAACAGACACCAGTGCCCCTCATAGTCACTCAGGGACCCAGGATCAGGCCACGTCTTCGCTTGGGCATCATCTTCCGCATGACCAAAGCTGAGTGAGCCCCTGTTCCACCTGGGTCCCTGCTGGCAAAACAGGGAAGAGAGTGTTGAAGAGGCATGCCCACTGTCTCAAGTCCCAGGACAAGGAGCCTCATGCATCTTTTCTGCTCACATTCTGGCAAAGATGCAGTCACAGGGCCACCCTTCACGGCAGGAAACACCTGGGAAGTGCCGGAGGAAGGCAGACATGGAGTTTGAACCACATCAAGCCATCTTGGCCACATTCCTCATTTTCCTCATCTCTACAATCCATTTATGAATCACAGCCCTATTCCTCCTGCGCCTCCCCCCTCTCCCGCCCCTTTCGTCAATAGGTTTTACATATGCAGTTCACTGACGAAAACGCTCACTGCAGCGCTATCCACAATACCCCCAAACGGAAGCAATCTAAATGCCCATCAATAGACGAATGGCACACAGTGGCCGCACAGGGAATACCCCTCAGTCATAAAGAGATGAGAAGTCCTGCCAC